AGTCCCTGCAGGGGCTCCAGGAGAGCTGGAGAGGGACTGGGGCCAAGGGCTGCAGGGCCAGGAGCCAGGGAATGGCTTCCAGTGGGAAAGGGGAGATTGGGCTGGGATCTTGGCAAGGAATTCCTGCCTGGGCTGCAATTCCCAGATTTCGCTGGGGCTGCCCCTGGATCCCTGGCCCAAGGCCAGGCTGTATGCTGGGGCTGGGAGCAGCATTTGTGATATCAGGAGATTCCTGGGATACCACGGAATCCTCCTTTCCATATCCATATTCCAAGGATAAATTCAGGAGCCATGGGTGACCTGAATTTGGTGGTCTCTGGTTGTCTCAGCCCGTGACGGAGCTGGGATCGGATCCTTGGTGGATCCGGAAGGGAAGGGATCCTTGGGAATTCAGAAGTTCTGATTTAGGTGTCAATCCCATATTTTTCCATGAATTTAGGGGAAGACAAAGTGTGGCCACTCAACTCTCGTTGTTCTCTTCACCTTGGGAAGTTTTCCTCATTGGAATTGTGGGAATTTCTATCAATCCTAAAGATCCTGTTTGGGATCCCATGGAGCCTTTTCCTAAACTAAATCAAATTAATTAAATGAAGTTAATTACAATAATTTAAATCATTAAATTGAGGCATAAATTGTTGCCAACACCTTCCAGAAACATCTTGGGTTTTCCACTGATTATCCTTCTCCAAGAGTTTTCCAGAGCCTGTGCTCCTGCAGGACACCCCAGGAATTCCAGGATTTCCAGAGCCTGCTCAGTTCTCCCGGTGAATCTTTCATTTTCCTGTGGTTTCTCTCCCGGTGGGATTTTAGGAACACTTCTGGAGCTTGGACAAGACAGAAAACAAGATCCCACCGCAGTTGATCCTCCAGATCTGGGACAACGACAAGTTCTCCTTCGATGACTATTTGGGTGAGTTGGGAATTTTGGGATCCATCCCAAAAAAGGGGAAACATCAGGTTGTCTGGGGATGCCGAATCCCTGGAGGTGTCCAAGGCCACTTTGGATGGGACTTGGAGCCACCTGGGGCAGCGGAAGTCGGGAGTTTGGATTGGGATGATTTGGGATGGCCCAAACTCCACGGGATCAGGGAACATTCTATGTTTCAAGGATTATCCCACTGAGATGTCTCTCTTGGAATGTTCTTCCTTGCAGGATCCATCCAGATGGATCTCAACAGGATGCCCAAGCCTGCCAAGACGGCGGAAAAATGTTCCTTGGATCTTGTGGATGATTCCCTGTCCTTCGGGCGCTTCGTGTCCCTCTTCGAGCAGAAAACCGTCAAGGGCTGGTGGCCCTGTGTGGCTGAGCAGGAGCAGCAGAAGATCCTGGCGGTAACGTGGCCTCTCCATGTTTTCCCTTGGATTCACTCCAATTCCCATCCCTGGAAACGTCCAAGGCATGGTTGGATGAGGATTGGAGCACCCTGGGATAATTTCCCTGCCCTTGAGGTGGGAATGGCTGGGCTTCAAATTCCTTCCTAATCCAAAGCATTCCAGAATTCCCTGAAAGCTTCAGGCAATCCAAGGCAAGGAATTTCCATTTCCAGCTGGAGACTTTATGGATCCAGCCCGCACTTGGCTGGAAGTTTTCCATGCAGAGAACGATTGGGATTTGTGGGATTTTCACCGTCGTTTTTGGAATGTGCCACCAAGTTTGGCTCCATATCACGGCTATTCCCAACGATCTCGTGTCCTAAACACCGGGAAAAAAAAATCCCACTGTCCCAGAGATAGATTTAAAGGTGGATGGGCTCCTCTTCCAGGTTTTGGAGAGGGGATCCAGGCAGGGAATTGGAAACCTGAGCTGCTTCCAGGGAAATCAGGAATCAGGGAATTGGGAAAGACTGGATGTGGCCCTCAGTGATGATCGGTCACAGCTTGGAATTTATCCCAGAGGTTTTTCCAGTCTCAGTGATCCTGGGATTCTGGGGTTGACCAAATTTGGGCATCAGTGGGATGTGGGATTTCCTGGAATATCTCCAGTGACAGGTGAGGGATCTCTGGAATCCTGGGATCCTTGTGGTCATTGCTGGGAATGGTTTGTGCTCAAAGGATATTTTCTTCCTCTAATCCAAATTTTCCATCCCATGTTCATTCCTCACTTTTCCCCCCCTGTTTTTTGGGATAATAGATCTGGTTTTGTTTATCCCATCCAGGGCAAACTGGAGATGACTTTGGAAATCGTGGCGGAACAGGAGCACGAGGAGCGTCCGGCTGGGATGGGACGGGATGAGCCAAACATGAACCCCAGGCTGGAGGATCCCAAGTAAGAACATCCCGAAGGGAAAAGCAACAACCAGGGCATGGATTTCTCGAGGTCCAGATGGGAATTCTGGGTTTCCAGCTGAAGGGAACTGGGCTGAACTGGGTTTGAACCCGGGTAGGATCCACTTGGAGCTGGTGGAGGAGGGGACACAGTCCAGGGAAATTGGGATTGTGGTCTGGACCACGCATCCATTGGGATTGGGAGATTGGTCTGGATCAGCAGTCCTGCGGGATTGGGAGGCTGGTCTGGACCCTGAATCCATTGGGATTTGGAATCTGGTCCGACCCCATCCATTGGGATTGGGAGATTGGTCTGGACCACAAATTCAGTGGGATTGGGAGTCTGGACCACCAAGGTGGACATCGGTGGGATGTATCCAGAAATATGGAAGAGCTGAAAACAGTGGGACTGGAGGTTGGTCTGGACCATGAATCCAGTGGGACTGGGAGATTGGTCTGGACATTGGTGGACATTGGTGGGATATATCCAAAAAGATGGAAGAGCTGAAAGCGGTGGGATTGGGAAGCTGGTGGGGACCATAAATCCACCGGGACTGGGATTCTGGTCTGGACCATGAATCCACTGGGACTGGGATTCTGGTCTGGACCATGAATCCAGTGGGATTCAGGTGACAGGCTCACCAAGGTGGACATTGGTGGGATATATCCAGAAATATGGAAGATCTGAGAGCAGTGGGATTGGGAAATTATTCTGGACCATGAATCCAATGGGATTCGGGTGACAGGTCTGGAGCACCAAGGTGGACATTGGTGGGACATACCCAGAGGGATGAAGGAACTGACACATTCCAGTGGGATTGGGAAACTGGCCTGGATCATAAATCCAGTGGGATTTAGAAGCTGGTCTCGGCCACTGGGATTGGGAGGTTGGTCTGGACCATGAATCAAATGAAATTTAGGAGGTTGGTCTGGAGCATCACGAGGACATTAATGGGATGTATCCAAAATGTGGAGGAGATTAATGGGATGTATCCGAAATGTGGAAGAGCTGAAAGCAATGGGATTGGGAAATTGGTGGGGATCATGAATCCAGTGGGATTGGGAGATTATTCTGGACCATGAATCCGCTGGGATCTGGGAGACAGTTCTGTACCATCAAGTTGGACATTGATGGGATGTATCCAGAAATATGGGAGAGCAGTGGGACTGGGAGATTGTTCTGGAGCATGAATCCCCTGGGATTGGGATTCTGCTCCAGACCACCAAGGCAGGTGGGATTGGGGATCCAGGAGGATGAAATTCCCAGGTGACCTCCCCTTCCCTTGGCTCCAGGCGTCCCGAGACCTCCTTCCTGTGGTTCACGTCCCCGTACAAGACGCTGAAGTTCATCCTGTGGCGCCGCTACAAGTGGCTGCTGCTCCTGGCCATCCTCCTCTTCATCCTGCTGCTTTTCCTGGGAATCTTTGTCTACGCCTTCCCGGTATGGAGCGGTAGGGAGAGGATGGGAATTGGTCGAGGTTTGCGGGGCGATGGAAAATTCCGTGCTGAGGAGCACAATGGGTTAAAAAGGGACTTCTTTGGGTTTGGGATCCTCGTGGGGAAAATCTGGAGGGGGTTGGAGAGTGTCCGAGGATGGGAATGGAATTGGGAAGGGGCTGGAGAAGCTGAGGGAGCTGCGGAAGCGGCTCATCCTGGGAAAAAAAGTGGGATCAGGGGGGATCTTTTTGCTCTCCATGATTCCCTGGAAGTTTGGAGCCAGGTGGGATTTGGGATCTGCTCCCAGGGAGCAACAGGACGAGAGGGAACAGCCTCAAGTTGTTCCAAGGGAATTTTAGGATGGATGTTAAAGAAAATCCCTCATGGAAAGGGGTGTCTAGCCCTGGAACAGTGGTTGAATCCCCATCCATGGAATTATTCCAAAAACATCTGGATTTGAGGCATTTGTGGCATTTGAGGATGTGGATAATGATGAGCAAGGGTTGGGGCGCTTTTCCAACCTCAGCAATTCCATGATAATCAGGAATGGTGGAGATCCCAAAAAATCATGGGAAGGTCATTCCTGGGGTGTCCTCAGCAACACAAAATCCTGGCACTGGGACAGATCCCGAGGTTTTCTGGGATATGGAAGGGAAAAATCTGGGATAGCAGTGCCTGCCTTGATGGCCTTTGGCAAAATTCCATGGAGCTGCCAGCTGGATTTGTCCTTGGAATAAATGATGATGGGGTGGGGCTGGAGAAACCTCCTCCTGCTGGAAAGCTCTGCATTCCAGAAAAATCCTGGCACAGCTTTCGGGAATGTTGCAGGAGCCCTTTCCAAAGGGGCAGAGCAGGTGATATCCCAGATTCTGTGGGATGATGGAAAAAGGAGCTCTAGGGATACAGAGCCAGGGGTTGGGCAGTGAATCCATGAGATCCGTGGGAATCCCAGAGGATGGGAATGAGCAGCGGGATCCAGAGGGGAGGAAGAGGTTCCAGGAAATCAGGGAAAACTGGGAATGTTTCCCACCAGTGGGATGCTGGGATGGTGATGGAGGGAGGGGCCGAATTTATTCCAAGGGTTTGAAGAGGTGGGAATTTCTCTTCAAAAGTTTTGGGAAGAGCAGCCAAAATCCAGGAATGACTCCTGGTGCTTGTTAAATTCTTCCAATCATTCCCTTCTTTTTCCAATGATTCCGTCATTCTTCCACTGATCCCGTCATTCTTCCAGTGATTCCCTCATTTTTCCAATGATTCCTTCATTTTTCCAACAATTCTCTTATTTTTCCAATGATTCCCTTCATTTTTCCAATGATTCCCTTCATTTTTCCAATCATTCCCTCATTT